ATAGAATTAGAGGACAACGGAAAATTAGCTTATCTAGACTCCATAATAATCAGACAAGGAAACCAATTAAAGTTAAGGTGGTATAAGAAACCAACATTATCAGGACGAATCATCAATTTTAATTCTAAACACCCCAAATCGATGATAATCACTACAGCAATGATATCGGACGAAACTTACCACAAAGAGATGGAGAAAGAGATTTGATCATTATTAAAAAAAAAAAATATTTCCCGGATAATATCGTAAGCACATTATTAAAAGGATCTAAATCGCAATTCAGTAAAAAAAGATCAGAAAATCCTACAATATTTAAATCAGTAACTTGTGTCCCTCATCTGTCAGAAGGTCTGGCTAAATCGGATTGCTACAACAAAGATTAAGTAAAAATAGCACACAAACCTACAAATACATTGAAAATATATTTAATAAAACAAAGTCAAAAATACCCAAATTGGAAAACAGTAATGTTATTTATAAAATCCCTTGTAATGGTAAAAACAACGAGTCATGTAACAGCCTATATGTAGGAACCACAAAATCAAAATTAAAAACTAGAATAGCACAATACAAATCGGACTTAAAACAATGTCAACTTACAAATATCAAAAAAAAAAACAGGACTCATGGCCCACTGTGCAGCTAGCGGCCACTCACCGAATTTCAACGACGCTGCGATTCTACAACAAGAACAACACTACAATAAGCGCTTTACTTTAGAAATGTTACATATAATAAACACACCGGCAAACATAAGACTGAAGTACAAAACGGACACTGAACACGGACTTGCTTACAAACAAATCGACAGTACCAAACTCCACGTCAAACAGTGCGGACGTGTAAATTAATGTATGTATACATTTTGTTTTTAATTATTGTTTTTGGAATTTGTATTTACGTATATTTTATGTTTTACATGTTTGTCAATAGTTGCCCTGAGGACGGTTACCGAAGCGTAATCGAAATATATCGGAAAGAAACATCAAAAAACTTGTGTTTTCATTAACATTTTTTAAAATTGACCTCGAGCCGGCAAAATACTAAACTAACATATAATTGTTGAGTTGGGTTTTGTGCATAATTTGCATGAAGTGAAACACACATTTCTTTGGTGTTATTTATTCTGCATACTACTACAGCGATGTAAAATTAGGTTTCTGCTGCGCAGCGGCAACTTCTTTTTTTACGACCATCATCTTTATGAAATAAAGAAAAGCTGAAAATCAATAGTTGCGTTCCAGATCCTTCACGATATTCACGAAATTCACGATTTGCAGGAACAGCTGTTTTCTCCATTAATAAACCTTATGGGAGGTGGTCACCTGGAACGACTTCCTGTAAAAACCTGCAAATCGTGAAGCATCTGGAACGCAACTAATGTGTGTATACCACACCAAGAAGCTTACAGTGAGCATGTGCTGTTATCGTAGCAAGCAGCATTTTGAAGTAAAAAAAAAAACAGTTGTTAAACGAAATACACGATGCACAGTGTTTGTTTGTTTTGAATGCAGCGCTGCTTGTACATAAATTTCGCTTTGCGCATGCCTGAAGCTGGCAAAGATTCTTTTTTTTCTATGTTTGCGCTGTGCTAGCTGGATATAAAAAGAGGAGAGAATAGAGGGCAATATGTGGTTTGTTGATGCTCTCTAAACACAAACGCGAGAAAAGCAAACGATCTAGTAATGCGTGGTATTGTTGATCAACTTAATACTTTAATTAAACTTAAGGCATATTCTCGGTTTGCAAAGCTGTCCCATACGAAAACCGGTTTTTACTGTGCCATCTGTGCACGGTGCAAGGGCTTTGCAAGACTCAGAGAATACCCCTATACTTACTCGGTGCATTCTTTTGCAACCGAGCTAAAAAAGAACACTCGCTTAAATGACGAAATACACGCAAAGCAACAGCACAAACTCGGCTATTTATCCGAGTTCAGCCAGGTGGGTTAAAAATACGCGACCTGAAGGGTAGTGCTGTTAAGTGAAAAAACTGCTCTATTGTGAATTGTTAATGGGAAGGTGGAGAGGGAAATAATTGTTTCCTTATATAAGCGACTTATATTTAAATTAGTATATATACTACGCAAACACCTAGCATAGTTACTCATTTAAATTGGTTTTTGCATA